CTCAATCTTGGACTCAGTCTCAGACCTGATCTTGGATCTTAGATTTGGTCTTAAACTCGGTCTCGAACTCAATCCCAGACTTGATCTCAAACTCAAACTCTTTATCATTCTAGTTGTGATTTCAGGGATCCTATAGCCTATTGCATTTTAGGGAGTTGGTTTCTTACACATAACTAGTAGCTTTCACCATTTTGCTATCATGGTTTTGCTTCAAAAACACTGCACAATGCAATATCAGCTTTGTTAACAGATCACCTCTATACAAAGCCTGAACATCCTTCAACTAGTTTAAAATGATTGCCAACATTACCTAGAACTGAGCCTAATGACTTAGCACATTAAGAATAATATTGTCTTAACCAGGTTTATAGATGATTTCAATATCGAATTTAGCAAGCTTCTCTTACCAACAAGTTTACTTTAGCATAAGCCTTGGCTGCATTGTAAAGCAGTTGTGTGTTACTATATGTATAGACCTTGGTATGTCCACCCAAATAGTGTCTTATTCATGAATCAATTTATGAAATCTGAATTTTATCAACTCTATGAGCCGATTGAACACCTGGTCCAGGTGGATCAAGTGGTAGAAGAAAGTGCACTTGCATTTCACTGCTACTTCATGTTTATTAACATAACAAGGGTTTATAAATGCTGGAAAAAATCTCTTAATCCTAGGTGCTGCATAGCAATGGCTCCCCATGAGTAGCACAGACTAAAATCTAGACATAACTTCAGGAAAAAATTTGAAAGGATATGTTTAATTCTTTTTCTTTTCAATCCAATTTCATGAGATTGGAAAGGGCCTCATGCCCCTTTAAAACAAATACTTGGGGGTTATATCACAAGGTGCTGCTATATCACACACTTCAGGCAGTGTTAGAGTGTTTTATATGGATAGATTTCAAGAGAAAACAAGGTATTTAGATATCTAAGGATCATGACATAAGTATTACATGGGCCAATGAGAGGGCGAATTTGTGTTTCTTACTATGGCTAGCATCTGAACAATATTTGTAGGGAAGGGCAAGGGAAAACTCATGTCCAAATGGAAAATATAAAAGGCACCATATTTATATCGATTTCAATGTCCAGAGTTTTTGCATCTTTTATATTTTTGAAATTCCTGCAATTTCCAATGTTTTTCACTAGGTTGTGTGAAAACTGTTGCCTCACTTGTAGTATATTTCTCTTTTATCTGCTAATTATTGTGGTATTATGGTGCACTTTGTTGTCGAGTCTACCCTATTAAATAGACAAATAGAAAAATCATTGCCCCAAATTTCACAATAAAAGAAAGATCAACGTTTTACAACTTGCCTAGTCTCACAACAGGTCACTGAGACCATCTTGGAGGGGTTATGACTCAAAAACATATATCTTATATGATCAATACTATTCCATTTAGTCAAAGGAAGGTTAAATGGAGTATGGACAAAGGTAGAATGCTCAGTAGGCTTCAGTCAGAAGTATGATTGTGCAGATCACTTGATCACACTTTGTTCTAAAAATGATGGGCCTATCTGTGTCAGAAGCCTTTGTACTAATTTTAATGTCTAAAGCGCAGCAATAGACATAATCCAGGCTCTCACAGCACTTTATAAGGTGGGGCGGAACCTGTTGTCAGCACAATAAGAGTCAATCACCAATAGGACCTGAGACTGAAGAATTTGACAAACTCTGCTACAAGGACGTGGAAACTATTGAGCAACCATGTAATATATTCCTGGCGTTCACCCATATCTCCCACAAGGCTCAGGAAGAACTAATCTCCCATTCCAAGGCCAAAGGTTTGGGACTCTTCCTAACCAACGTTATGTTAATTTGAATGATCATAAGGTCCGTTAGAAGATCCATAAATAAACAACGTTTTTTCAGAACTGTAAAAAAAAAAGTCATTTTTAAACCTTCAATACTTTTTTCTCAAAGATTTGGCGAAGATGAGGAACTTATTGGGGTCTGACTGTGTGACGAAAGCGTTAAGCACGGGTTCCTTGGGCGGCAAAAGCGATTTCCAGCTTGGCTCCATGTGCTTGCATCCAAGGACATCACCGGCCATAAGAAATTCTCGCAGCGATCTCCTCGACTTGCACGACTCGTATCTAGGAATTCTCTTGATTGGCTTGCAAATGTGACATACATGAAGTTGGCCGTTGTTGCTGCTGTTACCTCCTCCTTTAGATTCCTTGCTCTTCAGTACCTTCACCACCTCGTTAATCTGGAGTTTAGGGTACCACTTCATAACACTGTCCAGTGCTTTCGGTGGCTCGGTTCTTGAGGAAGTGAGGGCCGGCTCCTCAAAAATGAATCGAGCAGTAGGAAGAGTTCTCAGCGGCAAGCCATTAACAGGTGATGTAGATCTATTTCTGGTTCTCACATCTGGAAGCTTGGTGGTAGTGGTGGTAGTGGTAGTTGTTGTGGTTGTTGTAGTTGTTACCGTATGCCTGTTGGAAGATATGCAGCTGGTCTCTGCGTCTCTTTTCGTTTTAATACCATCGCTAGACCAGAATGTAATTTGTTCTGCTGGTGCTAGATTCTCCTGTTTCACTAAAACTCTTTTCCCTGTGTGAAGGAGCTTAAGCCTTGGACTTGTTTGCGAATAGCTATCCTGACTGATAACTTGCCGGATTGGAGGAAGCAATCCCGCCTGTGGCCTGATAAAGCCACAGTTTCCATAGGGGCTTTCGTTCCTAAGAGTGCTCTCCCAAGAAACTTTCTTGGTAGAAGCACCAGGTAACACTGGTAGGCACCTAGGAGAGAGCTTGACGTCCTTACGGGGTGAGTCTTGTGGGCTGTTAATCAGTGAACCAGGAGCTGGATTCCACTGTAATTGCTTTATTTTCATTTCCATGGCCTCAAGTCCATCGGTACTTGCTTGCTCCTCTTCACATTCTGCAGCTGGAGACTTAATTATCAGGCTATCATCAGCCTCTGGAACATCTGACTGAACCCTTGACATAGCCACGAGCCTTGCAGATTCCTGAGCTTTCTTTCTCAATTGTGCACGTTGTTTTGTCTTCTTCTTTTCTTCCAACTCTCGATCCAGAGCTTCCTGCTTTCTTTCCTCCTGGACCTTCTCAATTGCCTTTTTCACTTTCATGTCAAATGAATGCTTGAATGCCTCTTCTGCTCCAGCAAGGCAAATATCATAAAGGCCTTGCAAGTTCTCGTCCTCGCAAGGGTATATAAGATCGAAGTTTCCTATATGCTCGGCTTCGTACTGTTCCATCTCTTTTACTGTAAGTTTTGTCATCTCCTTTTCTTCCTTTTGTTTACCATACAAGCGCATTTTGGAGTTTTTTCTCTCTGCCATGGAAAGCTTAGAGAGTCCTGTAGGGTCGACATGAATCAATGACAAGGTATCGCTAAGAAGTGCTTCTTTAACCTTCAAATCCAGAGGTGTATCAATAGAAAATGACGGTGAGTGGTTAACCTGCACCATTATGTTTGCGTAAAGAGGGCGTAAAAACTACAAACTCATGGCTTACTTCCAGCAACCACGGCTTGCACTTATCATCTATCAGTACGTCCAATCCCAGCACCTCGAAGCAGGAGCGCCCGTTGTCGTCTTCATTTAAGCACGTGTGGTAGTTGTGCGACAAATAAGGAGCGATTGCAATAAAAGTCATCACAACCATCTTCTTAATTTGACGCTTGAGCTTCTTCGTGTCATAACCACGGGCAGCCATTGCTCTATATAGTCCGCTCAAACTCCATTTACTTCCTCTGTCCATATCAAACTCGCTGTCATTGTATTCAAAGTTAGGATGGAGTTTATTTAACGAATAGTTTGTAAGATGCATGCAGCTGTGGCGCAGGTTCTCTCGCGTTGGTTTAAAATATTTCATGGTGCAAAATCTCACCAAACCTTCCCTGTAGACCAAGTCCTAATAGTTAGCATGCAGAAAAAGAATCAGAATTTGTCGAAACAAACCTGTAGAGGTATAATCGCAATGGCTCACAAGAAAGTATCAGGGTGTAGATCCTCAAGTCAAATTTATAACCATTTATGAGCATTGGGTTTGTCACGTATTTCTGGGCAAGCATGTTAGCTCCAGAAAATCCTCCAATCGCCTGTTTGACGTCTGCGATATTCTGGACGAGTGCAACACCTTTACCCTGTCAACCATGGTATATGACAATGGATTATCTAAAATAAACATGTACCTGGGACCCATTGTCAGGTTTGAGAATGTAAGTTCGTAACTTTGGGCTGCGGAAGCGCGTAAGAAACTCTTGCAGCTGATTTGGAAGAATATAAGCACGAGGAAAGAATCTATATTCTGCAGGAAACATCCTGGAAAGTACACTTACCACGTATGAGGTCCACGTTAACAATTCGGAGCTGAGTAGCAGGTAGGGCATAAGCCACTCACAGAAACCTACTTTCGCATAGTGGAGAGGTGTCGAGCTAGTGATTTCTTGCGGCATATTTGAAGCATTCCAAAGAAGTGGTTCACCTTCTGGCCGTGCTTAAGAGCCATCAACCTCTCGGGACCGATTGAAGAATCTGCAAGGGCGTGTGTGTGTGTGTGTTGAGAGAGAGAGAGAGAGAGAGAGAGAACCTGTCCAGTACAGATGTGACGGCCGATCGTCCAGCGCCTCCTGCCATCCCAGTTTCCCGATCACATTTCGCATGACTTCGTACTTACAATGCGACAGATCCACTCGGACCTCCTCGCTGCGCTTCATTCTTTTCTTCTTCACAATTCGATACGACTCGGTAACATCGTTGGAGATATAGTCTTTCGCTACAAGAGCGAGATAATCCTTTACAATCCCTTCCACATTCCTAACGCTATCCGATTTTGATAAGCCAATGGACTGCCTCCTCTGCTGCTGGATTTGCACTGTCGGACGAGGCGAACAGCCCGGTACCCCCATGGCCGAGAATCTCCTAAGCTAAGGGATCATCTAAGTCCAGGACGTTGTGTTGCTTTTCTTGGAAGCGCTCGCATAATCGCGCGAGTGATCCGCAACCTCGCCAAATTATTGTTTGCATCTCAGCGAGAATTGAACCTCCACGACACATCGCACACGCTCTTTCCCATCTCCTCAGGGCTATCCTTTTCAGGTACCCAGACACTATCGCACGTTCAACATAAGCAACAAATATAATATCAACTGATTTTGTGGATATGCAATTGTATGGTTTTGATGATCTAAATTAGTTCCACATCATGCTGAGAGCATCATGATCATAAAGACGGCACCAGTTTTATATGCATGCTAGGAGTTGATTACTAATAAAGAGGCTTACAGATGCAAAATAGTTTATAAACACAATTGTGGTTATTCACGAGTGTCTCTGTTTTAAGATGAGACATATATGCATTTTGTAACTCTGGTGCCAAACAGAGCTCCAGCACAGTTTTGAACAAGTGTGGCCAACGTGCTAGTTGCTCTTTTGGGAGGATAGTAAGCTTCTGACCGGTACTGAGGCGCTATGGCAGGCCCAAACTGTAAGAACTGGTGGAATGTGGACCCATTAAGGAGCAGATCTCCTGTTGATTGGATTACTGGTGTCAAATCGAAATCAGCTCCTACGCCTTGAAACCATGGCGTGACTTCAGGTCTTCTGGCAGCGATGAAAACATTAGCCTCGCTCTTGACTTTAGCTCTGGCTCGAGCTCCTATTGCATAGTATCCCCAATTGGTGTACAAGTTGTTAATAACGTGGCAGTAGCCCCATCTGAAAACCATGAGAAAGTGCCCACAAATTAATGTCAAGATTAGAAAAAATTGCTAAATGAAACCTGCAGTGAGGCATCCGTTGCATGGAATCCTTAAACCAGTTCCTGTAGACGGTGACCCTCATTTTCTGATCTTGAATATCCGCATCGGAGGCTCCCAGAAGCATATTGAAGTTAGGATTAGTCAAAAAACAATTAGAGATGGTTACGTCGGTGGAACCTTGGACAACAGAAACCAGGCCCAGCTTGGCATTGAATGACGTGAGGTGATCCACCCAGACATTGCTGGTGCCAGCGAAAATGTGCACCGTATCCGTCTCACCAACTGTGTTGATTTGAAAATTGTGAAGAATGACGTTTTTGACTCCAGCAAGAACAATGGACCGACCATTGATAGTAATATTCACCCCTCTCCCGTCAATAGTTGTTGAGCTTCGTATCCATAGCATTTCAGTAAGGGTGATAATCATGGATTTTGCAAAGGTTATCCAGACTCCACCCTTGTCATCCCCTCCGAGACTCACTCCATATCTTAAGGTTCCTTTGGAAGGGGTCACTGCATTGTCATCAGCATTGGTGACAATGTATGACTGACCTTGAGCCCCACCAGTGGTTCCTGAGGCGAATCCAACAACACAGGTAGGCAAAAGCTTACCTTTGCCACAGTTGCTGAACTGGCAGGTGGTACCGTCAACTGGTAAGCAAGATTTTCCAGGAGCAGCAGCACCACTACCTGAAAGATTATAAAAATTAATGACCCGAACAATTTTCCATGGATTTCACTCACCCGCCGTTTCAGGTTGGAAAACTACTTCGTCCGATTGTCGCCCAGTAAGGAACTGTAGCGGTTCTTCAGCCTCTTCAATATGACTCAGTGCTTGCTTGGTTAAAAACAAAACTGCCTTCCCAGTATGATCCTATGGAGGAATGAAATCTTTTAGACATAAAACACATGCTTCTACAATCCAATTGTGGAAATGAACACACTTGGGGTGCAGCTTCAAGAGCCGCATTGCAATCTTCAACGTTCTTTTTCGCATTTCCCAGATGTGTTCTCGAGCTCTCGTACTCATCTTCAAGAACATAAGTTTCAACTAGGGAGAGTGAAGCGATAGCGGCATTTATTTGCTTTTTGCACTTCCCAACGCTTGTAGGTGCCGATTCAGCACGCTGAAGATACAGTTCACCTTTCTCAATGCTGGCAATTACTTCTTGTTCTGACGCTTCATTGATTGCTTGTTCATCCTTTTTCTGCTGTGAATGGCTGCCATCCAGCGGAGCTGATTCTTGTCCCAATGGCTGTGGAAAGTCCAATTCAAGGGGCTCCTGAATCGAGCAGTGGAGTTGCTGAGAAATTATCAACACTATAACAAAGCATAGAGCTTGCTTTCGCGTAGACATTTTTCCTATCGATTCTCTCATCGACTAGTGAGCTCAAAAAAAGACGCACAAAGCAACGCTTGGCGCCGGGACATTAGGGCTAACGTGGACTTCAGCAAAAAAATCGGCCGTTTCAGCCGGCGCGTGCAGCCTTAAAAATCACAAGGGCTTCATAGCATTCTCCCGCGAGGATGGACAAAACGAGGCGCGATGAGCAGGATGCCTGGGAGCGCACTGAAGGAATTGAGCACAAGCTCACCAAAATTGGTATTTTCTAGAGTCTCTGGAAAGGCAATAAAGAATTTCCCAATGTCTGCAGGAGTTGGTGGCAAGGCCTACTACGATGCTTCACAAATCAAAATTAAGAGAAACAAGGTACTTATAGCGGCTGCAAAGCTCGAGAACAAGCAGCTTCGTGCAACTCTTAATTCGTTGCTAGAACAAGAAAGATGTGCTTTGGGTCGCTCCGACTTGAGAAGACTCGGGGATCGTGTGGCAGCTCTTCGTAAGTGTTATGACGAGCAGAGACACAGGTCCATTGTTACGGAGGTTATGGTGAGCAATCTGCTGTGTGCACGATCGTGTTTTAAACTGTGACTGACAGCTGGAAAGTCAAAAAACGAACACAAAATCTGCACAAGTGGACTGCGAACAGGCATTGGACAACAACACAGCTCCACTTGTCAAGCTACGAGCTCTGGAAGAAACACTTGAGCAAGCGGTACTAGGCCTTAAAGAAGCTCGTGAACTAAAGAGCAGCTACGAAGCAACTTTAAAGCCCATATGCGATGAGAGAGCTATCTACAACAGCCAGGTTGTTCCTGTCCAATCGCTAATTTAGTTAACTGTCAGTACGCTGTAGATGGACACCCTGGGTAGAACATCAAGGCGTAGAGAAGAGGAGTACGAGCAAATGGCACTTATGTATTATGACGCC